CACGGGCCGGTGGGCGCGTCGCTCTCGGCGTACCAGATTTCGCCCAGAGGTGAGTCGCCGCCGAACTGCGTGAAGATGGCGACCCACTTCTGCCGGTAGGCGTTCCAAGCGATCGACCCGCCGTGGGTCGTCACCTCGGTGGCGCCGTCGCGCGACTTCACGACCTTCTGCGGCTCGAGCTTCTCCCACGCCGCCGGGTCCGACCAAGCCTCGTAGCTTGCTCGGCACTTGAGGCGTGGGAACGGGTCGCCGTACAGCAGCCACTCCTCGCCATCGCCGTCGGTCCACCGCGCGACGTGTCCGTCAGGGAAGAGCGGCGGCATATCCGACTCGCTCTCCTTCTTCCAAACGACCTTCGTCCGCTCGAAGACCTGCTTGCCCGCGTTCCACTCGCAGAGCCCGACCTCGTACGCCGTGAGCATGCCGCGGATCTTGGCGTAGGCGGCGACCAGACGGTCGGCGCCCTGCTTATCTTTGAGCGTGATCAGACCGCTCAGCCAAGTCGGGCCGTCGCCCTCGATCGGGGCGATGCCGCGGATCGGGCCGTTCCCATCGCGGATGTAGTCGTAGCGCAGCCGCAGCGGCGGCTCGAAGCTCCGCAGAGGGTTGCCGCGCGTCGTCGCGCCGAGCGTGTCGAAGATGCCCAGCGGGTACCTGGCGAGCGTCGTGTCGCCCCACAGCCAGAAGAGCCGGTCGCCATACTTGGCGACGTACACCGTGTCGCAACCGAGCACGCCCTGCTCACGCCAACGCGACTCGCAGCCGAACCGCTGACTCTCGGCGAACAACCCGGCGCCGGTGAGGCGCCCGAGCCGCTTGCCGGGAAGCTCGCGACGCACCCTCACGATCGCCCTGCCGCCCGGCGTCGGCGTCAGGCGCACGCCGCGGTAGCCGAAGCCGTCCGCCTTGACGCCGTAGCCGTGGCCCTCGATGTGGAACCACGTCTCGACGCCCATCAACTCCGGCAGGTCGCAGGCGATAACGCCGGCGTTGTCGGACACGAGCCGCACATGGTGCGTCGTCTTCAACTCCACCGCCGGCACGGGCCAGCCGTTCTGGTCATCGACGATATCGATGCGGAATGGCGCCGCGGCTATCGCCGCACTTGCGGCGATAAGAGACAGAAAAGAGACGACAAATGATTGGGACATGCCGTCTAGCGTAACCCACCGCGATTCCGCTGCGAAGCAATCCTGACGTCTAAACCGACCCGACGGGTTCCGCTCCCGTGTGCGCCGCGACCTCCTTCACGAAAGCGTCCGTTTCCGCTTGGGACCTGAAGGCCCGCAGCGGCACGACGATCGCCTCGAAGCTTGAAGTGTAGAGAAAGAGATGCGTTTCCGACCGAGCGATGCGCTCGATCGACTCCCACTTTCGCATCGTCTCGCCACGAGGACTCTGCTCTCTGAGTCCAAGCGCGTCCCACGACAGTAGGTGAGGGCCGAAGGAACCCTTCGACGCCCCCTCTTTCATCACTTTCCGGGCAAGCATCGCACCACGACGCCGGACGTACCAAGGCCCCAAAGCCAAGAGAAGGACGGGTCCGAGCAGAAGAGGCCAAATGCCACGAAGCGTGTCAACGAGCGGTTCCTCCGAGGTCTTCACGACCAGGACGGGAAGCGTCATCATCACGCAGAACGCTACCACAAAGGTGAACCGCAATTGTCGAGCAATGACTCGAGACGACTTGTAGTGCTCGAGATTAAACGCCGTCAGGTCGTCCGCATTAAGGTCGTACTCAATCGGACCCGCCACCTTCGGCGTCGGCTCGCTCACTCCCCGAACTCCTCGATGTAGTCCGCGATCGCCGCTTCGACGACCAGCTCGGCGTGCTCGCGGCCGTAGGCGGCGTCGATCTTGACGCGGCCCGCCTCGTCGGGGGTCAGCGCCTTGTAGACGCTGAAGTAATGCCGCAGGCGATCGACCAAGACCTTCGGAAGCTCCGACACGTCGTTGACGCCGCTCCACATCTGGTCGTTCTCGAGGACGGCGATGATCTTGTCGTCCGCCTCGCCCTGGTCGAGCATCGGCAGCCCGCCGACGATGCGGGCGTTGACGATCGTCACGGGGTTGGTGATCGCGCGCTCGCTGATCACGCAGATGTCGAGCGGGTCGCGGTCGCCGTCCGACGCTTCCGGCATGAGGGCCTTCACCCGCTTGCCGCAGAACGTCTTCGGGATGAAGCCGTACAACGTCGGGGCGAACGCCGACGTCCGGTTGGGACGATCGACCCGCAGGTAGCCCGTCTTCTTGTCCAGCTCGTACTTGACGCGGTCGAACGGCGTCAGCTCGATGTA